CAGTGCGGCTTTGGGGCTGGGGTGTCCTCCATGCACCTTGCAGCCTGCATGGAAAGAATGTGAGAGGGGGGTCTCTGGGGCATACGAGTAACCTGGGAGAAGGGGTTTAGGGAGCACGGCAGGCAAGTGGGGCAGGAGATGGGCACCATGAAGATATGCTTTGTCTCACTGGCACCGAGGCCTCTTTTCTTCTGCCTGTGAAGTGCTGCACTTAGCCAGACTGAGCCATCTCACTCCCTTACCGAGTGGAGGCAACCTCTGCATTTGTGCTCCTCTCAGCCCTCCTGGAGGCCTCACTGGATTGCCCTGTAAGCCACAATCACGGGGACGCATGTAAATTAAGCTTTGGTTAGCCCTTAAGTTAACTCTGGGCCTTTCTAGCCCATGAAGTGTCCAAATGTGTGCATTGCACTGTCAAGCAGGGCATGGGGCATTTGTAGGTTGTTGGTGCAAAGCAGAAGTGGCTTCTGGGCACACCTCTTGGGTTAATTAACCAAGGATCTGCCACTGAATGCCCCTGGTGCATGGCACAGTCCCAGTAGATACTAGCCATTGCAATGAACTTCTTTAAAAGAAACCATCTTCAATTTAAAAACAAAGCAAAAGATATCTGCAAAGTACTAAGAAAGGCAAAAGTTTTTATTTAAATTTCTGCGCATAGGTCTGTGTAATTAGCTTTAAATATTGTTCTTAGTGTTGAATGTTGTAGCTGCATGTATTCTATGCAGCTGAATTGTGAAGGCTGGGAAAACAGAAATGAGACCCTGTTTTTTTAAAAACATTTCTCCCCAAAATTCCTGAAGGAAAACAATGGGGAAAAAACTTTCTAAAATATTTCTAACTTTCTCCATTTTTTAAATGGCTTTTTGCCCTGCTTTTCTCAACTATAGTATAGTCAAGATGCCATCAGATTTGATTGAATACACCTGCTTTACTGAATGTCTTGTCCCTGTGGAGCATCCTCAGATGGCTTGAGGAGTTCAGTTTCTTCTCTGTCTTTGGCTGAATTAAAAAACCCAAACTTTTCTGTTGTGCTGAGAAGCAAAGTATCCTGCATTTCCAATGCTGACTGGCTATCCACCTTTCAACTGGCCAATTTAGTAGCTATATTAAAACAGAGAAACAAAAACCAGGCCAGTAACTTCTGTTGGGCTAGTTTGCGAGGGTGTGACTCTGTATTGTTTTACAGTGTATAGTTTGGTATTGTTGTCACAGACATTTCCTCTTGACTGGGGGGGCGGGGAAGATGGCTGTTGGGTGGTATAGAAATTCATCAATTACAAAGCAGAAGAAACTTCATTACAAAATGTCTGGGATACAGCTAAAGCCTATGTCAGGGGATTGGTAATAACATACTCAGCAAAAATAAATAAAAGAAAAAGCAGGAACGAGCAACAATAGTAGAGGAACTGATGAAATGGGAAGAAGAACTGCAGGAAGATCCATCCAAAAAAATCTTAAGGTCCAAATGAATATTTTAAAGCATAAATTGAATCTCTTGGACACAAATGAACTTACTAAGCAGATGAAACTGGCCAAACAGAATTTCTTTGAAAATGCTAATAACCCGGGGAGATGGTTAGCCTATAAAGTAAAGAAAGAGAGAGAGAAGAGACTGATTTCGAAACTGAAGGATGGAGAAGGACGACTACAAGTACAAAGTATACAAATTAAGAAAATAGCAGAAGATTTTTTCATAAAGTTATACCAGAAGGATGAGATTTCAACTGAGAAAGTAAAAGAATACATCCGAAATGGATATTTACCAAAACTACTGGAGAAATATCAAAACTTATTGAACCAAGAAGTAACAACTATGGAAATAATAGAGGCAATTATGTGGCAAAAGAACGATAAAACTCCTGGCCCGGATGGGCTGCCAGCTGAATTTTATAAATCCTTTGAAGGAGTCTTTGCTACGCTTCTTAAAGATATATGTAATGAAGCACTGTTACATGCTAAAATACCAAATACTTGGACAGAGGCAAATATTACACTAATACCGAAAGAAGATATGGATTTAACACAGATTCAAAACTACAGACCTATATCATTATTAAATGTGGATTACAAAATTTTTGCCTCTATAATGGCAGAAAGGTTAAAGAAGCTTTTAATAGATTTTATTCACCCAGACCAAAATGGCTTTTTGCCCAAAAGTCAAATGAAGAATAATCTGAGAACTCTCTTGGATATCCTAGAATATTATGAGATACACACAGAAAAATCAATGGTTTTACTGTTTATGGATGCCCAGAAAGCCTTTGATAATGTTAATTGGCAATTTATGAAGCAACAGGTGGCTCAAATGGAGTTTAGTGAAAAGTTTATGAATGCGATATCAAGCATTTATCAAAGACAGTCGGCCAGGATTTTAATTAATGGAGAACTTACAAGGGCTATAGAGATACAAAAGGGTACAAGACAAGGATGCCCATTGTCACCCCTGTTGTTTATTCTGATTTTAGAGGTGTTGAATAGAAATATCAGGGATGACACAGACATTAAAGGTACTAGAATTAGGGATGAAAGTTATAAATTGCAAGCATTTGCAGGTGATTTGGTTTTCATAACGGAGGAACCCTTTGTAACAATGCCTACACTCCTACAATGGATTGAAGAATATGGTGAGGTTACAGGGATGAAAATAAATAAAGAAAAAACAAAATTGTTAGTTAAAAATCTCATATAAGACCAGAAAAAAAGGCTGCAGGAACAAGTAGACTTGCAGATTGTCAAAAAGTTTAAGTATTTGGGAATCTATCTTACAGCCAAGTGTACTACTTTGAAAGAAGACAATTACGATACACTATTGAAGGATATTAAGGGCGATCTGGAAAAATGGGCCAATTTACAATTATCTTTAATGGGAAGAATAGCACTGGTTCAAATGAACATACTACCAAAACTTTTGTCTTTATTTCAAATGATTCCCGTAAAAATTGATAAATTTTTTTTGATGATTTAAACTTTCAAATTTCAAGATTTATTTGGAGAAAGAAGAAACCAAGGATTAAATTAAAAATACTTCAGGAAGCTAAAAAGAACGGTAGTTTTGGTCTTCCTGATTGGATGTTGTATTATCAAGCATCTGTTTTAACTTGGCTGAAAGAATGGAAAACTTTAAGAAATAAGAGCATCTTGTATCTTGAAAGGCATGATTTGCAAATGGGTTGGCATGCTTATATGTGGTATGAGAAGGCTAAGTCACATGGGTCTTTTTTAAGTCACTTTATTAGAAGATCATTAATGTCGGTGTGGGAAAAGTTAAAGCTAAAATTGTATAATAAACTACCAAGATGGCTTTCACCTATGGAAGCTTTTGTGTATCCAAATGCATTGAACTTTGAAGGGATCATAAGATATGGTGATATTTTGGATAGGGATGGAGGCCTGAAACTAGATCAAGAAACACAAGAACAGGAATCTAATATCTCTTGGTGGCATAAGGTGCAGATGCAATCGAGATATGCTAAAGACTGTAAAGCATGGGGGTTTTATAAGGACTTAACAGCGTTTAATCAAGTGATGCTTAAATCAGATGAGAAAATGATGAAAAGATTATATGATTCCTTACTTGACAGGAAAATGGAAGATGAACAGGTTAAGGAAACTATGATAACATGGGCGCAAAATTTTGGATATAATATTGAATTAGAAAAATGGCAAAAGCTATGGGAGAGAAATATTAAGGTAACATTAGCAATTTCGTATAAAGAAAACTTATATAAAATGTTTTATAGATGGTATCTGTCACCAAATTGATTAGCTAAGATGTTTCCAAATATGTCAAGTGGATGTTGGAAATATAAACATAAATTGGGTACTTTTTACCATATGTGGTGGACTTGTGACAATGTGAAAAAGTATTGGATTAAAATACATAAATGGCTTGAGGAAATGTTACAAAAAGCCTTAGCTTTTAAATCTGAAGTTTTTTTATTAGGCATTATACCGGAAGATATTAGTAAACAAGAAATGTATTTGATGTTACACGTAATCACCACGGAGAGGATTGCATTTGCTCAACACTAGAAAAGTGAGGAATTACCCACCGTTGAACTGATTCTAAAAAAGATCCTGGACTGTGCAGAAATGGATAGATTGGCTTGGTCACTGAAGGAGAAAGAAGATACTGACTTCTATCAAACTTGGGATTTTTTTTTTTTTTATTGGCTAGAGAAATGGGACTTGGCTTAGATTTAAAGATTCTTTTAAGTTATTATAAATGGATTTGAATATGACTATAGAATGTTAAAACGTATGAGTAGGGGGCTGACCCAGTACGTCCGATGTATTTGGTGATTGATGTCTTTAGTGTTAGTTTAAAAATCTTAATAAAATTTATTTAAAAAAAAAGAAATTCTTCAGTTAAATAAATAAATACAAATCTAGCTGTCTTTTGGAGGTGGTGTTCTTGGATTTTTTAAATAGCTGTTTAAAGATAAAGGTAAAGGTTTCCCCTTGACATTAAGTCCAGTCATGCCTGACTCTAGGGGGTGGTGCTCATCTCCGTTTCCTGGCCGAGGGAGCCAGCGTTTGTCCACAGACAGTTTCCGTGGTCATGTGGCCGGCATGACTAAACACCAAAGTGCACGGAACGCTGTTATCTGCCAACCGAAGTGGTACCTTTTTATCTACTTGCATTTGCATGCTTTCAAACTGCAAGGTTGGCAGGAGCTGGGATGGAGCAACGGGGACTCACCCCTTTGTGCAGACTCGAAGCGGCGACCTTTCGATCAACCGACCCAGCAGCACAGCAGATTAAACCACTGTGCCGCCTGCGGTCCCTAAATAGCTGTTTAGTGATCCTCAATTAATTGGTTCAGAGCATATTGGTTCGAGAAAGAGGGGGGGAAAGAACCCTAGCAGACTTTTGTGTACATTCGTGGCATTTTAGGTGGAACCATAAGGGTTGTGTTGGGTTGGTCGGATTGGGAAGGAATTCAGTTGAAGGCTAGAAAAAAAGGAAAACTTGAAAGGGTTGGTTACTGAGCTGACAAATAGTGTCCAGCAAATGACCATCACAGTTGCCTTGTTAGTGACATGTTATTTATAGTCTCCATGTTGGAAAGGAAAGGTGGGAGTTGATTGTTTCCTGTGTGGTAAAATGCAGTCCTTTTGTTTGTATTGGCTCTATGCCAGGAAGCAATAGACCTCCATGTGGATGAATTCGCTGCATTTCTAGGTTGGGTTGCTGATGCCGCATGTTGTCCTTTGACACCAATCCTTTGAAGCATGGAACCCAGCGCTGTTCTCTCCTGCTGTTGTCTGATACCCTTTGTCTTCTCACTGTGCATTCTGTGAAATCATTCAGAAATGCTTGATCAGGTGGGAAACTGAGAGGCTGAGGGACATTGGTTTGACCAAGTTGCCCTTGGCATCAGTTGCAGAACGGGGGCTGGAACCTTGGCTGGATGGATGGCTGTCTCCATGATGCTCGGAGCACTCCAGGGGACGCTGGCCCCGATCTGTTACTGACTTTTGGCTTTTCTTGGTTTCTTTTTTTCCTTCCTAGCCATCTACAATTATGAACCCGGTCAGGATGTGGAACTCGCCTTGCAGGTTGGTGACACAGTTCACATCCTGGAGATGTATGAAGGTAAGTGAGTACTTGTTTGCTAGGATGGGATGAGTGGATTCACAGCCCAAGTTCTTAAGTTTTAAAGCTGTGGCGAAAGATGGGTATTTATTATTACATATAGCTTTGATTTTTCATTTTAAAGACGCTTTTCAGGACTCATTTCTTTACAAAGCAACAAAGACACCTGAGTGGGAACGGATGCAAGGCAGAACAGCTGCAGTAGCAAACGGGGGGTGTTTTACCAAGCAGCTTTTCTTGCACAAACCCGTTACAAATTCAGGTGAAAGTAGTTTTAAATGGAAAGGGCTTTCCTATGTGCCCACATGGGACTGGGCACACATCAGTAGGAAAGCGGTTCACTGAGGCCCTCCCTGAGAAGGCCCTGTCTCTCGTGTTTGCCCCTTTCCTATATCTCCGTGAGAGCTTTAAGCTACCTTAGCCTTGGTTTGGTTTGGTTTGGTTTGTCTTTTGGTCCCGTCCCCTTGGCTTTGCACCCACTGTTGGAACACAGCCCAAGGGAGGTTCTCCAAAACAGAATTTAGCCCTTGGGTTCCCACCCCTGATGGGGTCAACCACATCTGGAAGGCACCAGATGAAGAAGGCTGAACCGCAGCCTGGGAAATGGTAGCTGCATCTTAGGAGCTTTGACGTGACGGCTTGTGGGTTCTGACAGGTCGGGAGGGAGGGATGCTTGCCTTGAAAGAGACAGGGACTGCTACCCGCTGACACCTTGGCATAGCAGGTAGGTGCAGGTTGCAGGTGGCATAGCATGGCTCTGATTTATCTGGAGTTCCAGAAAAGCCTCTGGAACAAATGTGTTCATTCCCTGACTTCTTTAGGTCGGCCAGGATTAGGGTTAGCTGCTGCTTTTCCCTGTTGATAATACCAGGCCTGATGGATGAAGGCTCTGTCTCAGCAGGATGCCCTAGATGCCAAAGTCGGGAACTGGAGTTAAGTTCTGAACCCATCAAAACCCGAACTGCCGGCAGACGAACTCCCTTTGATGTTGCAAGCAAGCAAATCCGGCTGCTTGCTTAGCAGTTCAACAAGACAAAATTGGTTTCTTTTCACTCCAGCTTGACCTTGACATCGGACAATGGCTCCTTGCAGCCTACACGTCAAGAGAGATTATGTAGCTGGGTGTCTTTATGGTGGGGGAGAGTGTTTTGCCGAAGATGATTAAATGTACGAAAGGAGTAGAATATGAGCTGACTTTGCGAGCAGGGAAGAGAGAGACACATCAAAGTCGCTGTTTATCAGGGAAGTGGGATGTGCCGTCTTCCTTCCCAAAACCGGCCTTTCCTCCACTCTAAGAAAGCAGCTTTCTCCTTGCTGCTCCGTCCTATACATGTTGACTTTAGTTATCAGAGTGCCTCAGCCCATCCCAATTTCCATGGCCAACAGAAATCATATTTAGCGTGATTAACCCTTTGGAGTTCTGATGGCTCCGTAATGGGGCCGGCTGGCCAAAATCGCATTTTCCAGATCATCCCATCTCCCCGTTGCTCTTTCCACTCTTGGCACTGGATGCTTCGACCCTATAAGCCCAGGCTGCAGTACCCCAGTGGGTAAATGCAGCATCAGAGTCACCCCTACAAATCGCCCTGCAAGAAAGCGACATAGTGGTACATTCCAAATGCAGCTGCTGTTCAGTGAAGGAGTGCAGAGCCTCAGCCCCCGTGTGCTGACTGCTCATTGTGCTCTCCGGGAGCTGTTCATTTCTGCTTACACGCAGCAGAAAAGCAACTGGAGAGAACCTCATTGCAAGGGATTCCAGAGCAGCGTCTACTGGTGGTGTCCATGAAGGGCTCCCTAAATCATCTCCCCATGGGCTATTTTCAAGTTCATGGAGAGCATAATTGTTGTAGCCAAGATGCAGCAGTTCCCCGCAGCTCTAACTCTCATAGGACAGCAGGAAAAAGCCCCCCTCCCACATTTGCTTCCATGGGAACTATTTTTGTTTCCTATGAAAAATGCAAGCTTACCTGGGTGGGGATGCAACTGAACTGGGACCACAGCACAGGCAGGGGGTTAACTGCCCTCCCCTGCCCATAAATCAGCTCTGCTGCCATGTACTTTTCAGTCAGGCAGATGTATGTTAGACATTAACATTAACCGTTCGTTTGTTTATTTGTTACGAGACACTGAGGCTTGGCACCCTTCAGAACCACTTCAAATATCTTTTCTGCTGCTCTGGTCAGTAAAATGCAGGTGCAATGCATAAAAGCTCAACTGAATTTTTATTGAATACTTAAACCAGTTAATAGGTTGCTTCTCTCTTCATGGAGTGCTATCCAACCAAAATTTATGGGATGGGGTTGAAGTATGAGTTCAGACAAACCCGACGCGAGCAGCTGGAATGATGCAGGAGGAAAACAAGAACAGCAACAACTTGCTAACACTACTAAATGTTGTAGTACTGAATGAGCAGGGTGGGCAGTTGAATGCCTCCCTTATTAAGATGAGAGAACAATTCTCCTTTGGGTGATTTGTTCCATTTTATATTTGGTTTGGACATCCATAAATACCCCAGGAACTTGCCCTATAAGTCTTGCTTAAAGAAACATGCCAAACTTTTGTCCTGCTTTTTTCTCCTCTTACTGCTCAGGAGTCTGACTCTGTACCAGTCGACTTCTTCTGTAAAGTATTTTAGATGATAGCAAACTCTTGTTGGTAAGGGAAGGGAGGGGTGCTGGCTTGCATGCCTGCCTGTAGTTATTACATTGCATCTGTACCCCACCTTTTTCCTCCTGTGAGGACCGATTTTATCCTCACAGCAACCAGTCTGTGAGACAAGTTGCACGGAGCGTTGTGTGACTGCCCAGTGAGCTTCGTGGCCAAGTGGGAGCCTGGATCTCCTCGTCCCCAGTCCCCCCTCTAGCCATCACACAAGACTGGGACTTAACATATTGCCCAGTAGCTGGAGCTGTCCAAGCAGTTTACAGAAGGCCCTGCCCTGCCCTGCCCTCTGTGTGTCTGTCTGTGTCTGGATGGCTATAGGATACATCGGGCTGCAGCTTTGACCCCAGACATGCATTCTGAGATCAAAGGTGGCATTCCGACTATGGAGAGCCTTCGCGCAGGTGCGGCTCTTTCATGCTGGCTGCAGCTCTGAAACCTGCAAGCGCAACTTCAGAGCTGGGTGGTGGTGGAAGAGTAAAGCTTTTCTGGGTTGCAGGAAATGCCAGCAGTGCCTCAGCCCTTCCTTTTCCCAAGCAGGGGCCAGAGATGCATGTGAGCAAAAGCAGAGGCAGTCCCAGTACGCACTCTCTTCCTGCACTTGACTGGATGCCCATAATCCTGTGCAATGGGAAGGCTCCCAGATGGGTGGCCCTCAACTGCAGAGAGATTTGGTTGTGCTCCGCGGAACAGAAAAGTGACAGTGAACTCAGCTTTGCACGCAGAAGGCTGTGCTTGTTTGGTGCTGCCCCTGGCTGGGCACGCCTCCTCCCATTCTAAAATTGCCTCCTGCAAGGCTTAGTTATTGTTAGAAAGGGCCTGAAGCTAAAATGTGCAGAGCCAGCTTGGATGCCTTCTCTGGACACCACTGGAGCAGCCCTCAGACAACCTGTCGCCTGCAGACGCCGTGACGGAGAACCTTGCAGAAAGGGTAGCTGGGGGTGCGTAGTCACTGTGCGTAAACTGATCTGGAAAGTATCGGGTGAGTTCTTCAGCCGGGGACCAGCCCCCTTTCAGCTTGCGGATTAAATTAAGTTTTGGAGAACTTCTCGAGGGGATGCATTCCAGGGGAAGACACTCCCAAATGCAAGAAGCCTTGGGTCCAAAGTTCTGCGAGTGCGTGCTGTGGAACAGAATAGGTCATCCCTTTTGGTGTGCAAGAATTGTATTAGTAATATTAAAATATTCGAGTTTTGATGATGAAGACATGTTCTATTTTTTCTTCTGCCTTGACAGACTGGTACAGAGGATACACCCTTCGAAATAAATCCAAAAAGGTATGGCATTGTTCCTTTACTTGTGTGTTTCCTTTACATTCAGAATTGGGGTTGTTCTTCTCAAAATGTCTATTGTAATTTTAGTATGCAATTTCTGGCACAATTTCCTCCTCTGATCTCCATTTATGCCTTTTTTCTCTACAATGTTTCCAAATCATTGGGGACATTAAAATACAAATATTTTCAGGGCAGTGTGGAGTTTGTGATTTTCTGATCCTACTGCCAAAGTGTGACATTTGATTTTAGGTGAAGAAGTAGGTATTGCAGTCCCTAGCCATTGAAGTTTCAGCATGTCCCCTCCAAGTTTCTGGTCCTTAGGATTTCAAAAGGTAGACTTGAGATTAGGTGATGGACGTATGAAGAAATCTGAAAGTTACCTGACTGCAGCTGAGCATAATTTGCAGTAGTTAAGTGAATGGTATGTCAAAACCCTGCATAGCTCCTTGACTGTTGTGAAGACAAGCAGAAGCAAAACTGATGATGCACAATAAATTAAGTAGGTGAAGGAACAGGCTAACACTGCTGGGCAAAGTGATGCAGAAACCTTGGTATAACTTGGCTTTACTCAGTATGGGGATGCATCATCCTGTGAGCTTTTCTGAAATTGAATTCGGACCTTGTGGATAGTCACTTGCACAGCCTGGACTTTCAAGCACGCATGCAATGCACAAGATATGCATGTTTCATTGCTGCTGAGCAAAATGAGTAGCCTTCCCCACTATTCATGTTCCTCACACACACACACTCCCCCCCCTTTTTTTGTGGTGTGAGCCAACTTCCTGCTACCAAAATCCATTTTCTTAAGAGCTCCGTCCAAACTCTGCATCAATGAGAGAGGTTTCCGCTGCTCTCCAGGGAGAACACCACAAAGCTAGAAGACCACTTTGCTATCTTAGAATGTGTCCGTTGTGCTGAAGGGAGATAATCAGTGCCTTTGACTGATTTGGACTGGAGCAGTTTGTTTATTGACATTCTGTGTAAAGCCTCTTTAGATCTGCTTGCAAAATTTGGCGGCAAGGAACAAAACTTGCGAGCGACTGGGGCTCCCTCTTGGGATTTAGCCTTCCGTGCTGATCAGAATTTTAGTTCAGAAATCATTTCTCTTCCTGGAAGACTCACTTGCAGTGGAAGTGGTACTCAGCTGTCTGTGATTGCACTGTTAATGGATAGCAAGCAATTTGTACTATTAAAAAAAGCAGATGTTTGGTTGTCCCGGGCCATAGCTGATGCATAGCCACATTTTGCAAGCATGCCAGAATATGGGATTGCGGGAAGAAAGGAGAAGCCTTCCTTTCGTATACAGTATGAAAAGAGCTGAGCTGGACAAGGCCAGAGGCCCAACATGTCCAAGTTTCTGTAAATGAGTGTTGAGAGAAGGACGCATGGTTCCATGCCTTTTTTATTATTAATTTTTGTTTGCATTTGCAACATTGATCTCTGGCTTGACTACCAAACTGGTGGCCCTCAAAGCTGTTATAATTAATAATAAAATGATGTAATAAAGGAAAAAAATTACCTCCCCCCCCCCAAACCACTGTCTATCAGCATTTCATGAACCTGGGCCAACCTTAAGCTCCTGAGGCTGAGGATATGTTGGGTGCTGCTGAGCTTCCATCTTTCCACCAGCAGGAGGGAAGCCACCAAGGGTGGCCTCCTTGTGGTGGTGCCAGAAAGTTCCACCATCAGTGCTTCTCTGCTGCCACAGCTCAGCTGCTACAATGGATGAGAAGTGGAATGATGCTGGTGGATTGAGGAGGACTGATCTGCAGTTCAGGCTAGCTCAGCTGGTGAAGTTGCTGGTTCTAGGTCCAGACACAGCTGTTGTAGCTGCATCTTGGCCTTCTGCTGTATTGTTCCTGCCCACCGCTACCTGCTATACTCCTGACGAGCTTGTAGTGCATCGAAGTGGCCCATGGCAGCTGGCTTCCGCCTCTCCTTTTTGCTGCGTGGTCCCAGGTTGCTGTGTTGTGGATAGCCTTGAAGGGACCAGGGAAGGCCAGCCAGCATGGGGGCCAGGTTTGTTGGGGAGAATGGGAGTTGCAGTCCAGCCCAGTGGGAGGGCACCAGAGGCTGGTTTAGATCTAAATGGCAGACTTTCTAGAGATCATATTGCCTCCTGTGTTGCCAGTCCCTTCTCTGATAGTAGCTCCTGTGTTTGCTCTGTTTTGCTGATTTATTATTTATTTAGGAAATTTATAGGCCGTCCATCACTGTCGTCGCTGGATGGCTTACAGCATTTCTGGGAATTTCCTCTTGAGATCTCTGGAAAATCAAACTGGAATCCACTGGCTCTGAACCCATCCCTGGGTCTTTTTGTCACACCTTTCTCTAACTCACGGAGGTTGAGTGTGATTCTCCCTGTCAACATAATTTACACATTTGGGACTACAACTCCCATCCCCCATGCTGGTTGCTCATACTGACCAAGGCTGATAGGAGTTGTTGTATAAAACCACTGGAAAGCACCATGTTGGGTATCCCTGTGCTCTGTCTTTCCTTCTTCATCATGGTCTCTGTGCATCACACATAATGGGTACTGCGCCTGCGCAGGGCCTGTTGCCAGCCAGAATACCCAAGCTGCAACAGTTTTTGGCGGAAACTCTGCACCCTTCCCCCTGGTGCTATATAAGGCGGAGCACCTGCCGTTTTCCTCAGTCTTCTTTCGACCGCTGATCGCATTGCCTCGAGCCATTACCTTGTCTTCTCGTACTTACTGGTTGTTTCTCTAGTTGTTTCTCTAATTGTATCCCAGTTCAGTCCAAGTTATTTCCCCTTTTCCCCCGGTTACTTCTTTCCTCCTTACTTTCCTAAAATAATAATAATAATAACAACAACAACAACAACAATAATAAATAGATATATAGTTAGTATCTCTTTTCCTCTTACCTTTACTATTCCTTTTTGACGGCTCAGCGTGCGGTGTTTTGAAAGTGTTTGAAATGCAGGGCTAAAATGTCCCCAGCGGACCCACACAAGCTCTGCCTCCCCTGCTTAGGAGAGGGGCATCGCACCGACAAGTGTGGGCATTGCCAGGCCTTCACCAAACAGGCCAGGAAGAACCGAGAGAATAGGCTGAGAAAGATCCTCTGGGATCAGGCCCTACTAGCCTCTGATGAGCTCGCCGCTCAGCCTATGTCGGCCGGCCCTTCCATGGTGACCTCCCCCCGAGCATTCGGGGGAGTTGCTTCCGAGGAGACCTCTCGGTCCTCCCACTCCTTGCTCAAACCAAAGGAGAAGCCGAAGCATTCCGACCACGGGGATCCGTCAGTCTCGAAGAAGGCCAGAAAAGATAAGTCAGGCAAGACCAGCAGAAATCATAGGCCCGCTTCGGAATCACGAAGGGATTCGGATTCGACCGCCTTGTCAGTCCAGAAAGCACCATCTGTCAGGTCACACCGCCTAGATCCCCACATTGAGCCTGTGGTCCCGACTAGGCTACATCCACCCGAACCGGTCGCTCATGGGTTGATGTCGGATGGAGAGATTCGTGACTCTCATCCAAGGTCTTTGCCGTGCCATCAACCAGCCCGCTGTCCAACTCCAATGCCATCCTCCCTGGAGGCTCCCAGGAGGACCACGGGGGTCGAACCCATCCAGCATCGCCGCTCATCGGGACAATCTGCCAAATCATGGGTCCCGATGCCATATGAAGGGCCAGAAGCCTCACAGCCTCAATATTGGGGACCACCCCCATATGGCTACTACCTGCCAAGGGAATACGGCTGTCGGTCCCGACAGACAAGGGTGGAAGCCCCTTCTACTTTGGTGCCAACGACCTCTCGCCATCCTCCTTCTCCGGCACAGTCATCCTCGAGTCCACCTTACCCATATGACTCAGACTCTGAGGACTCAGACCATTGTTCCACATCTCTTGAGGTAGTCATTTTCCCCCAGGGACCTGGGTTGCCCGAAGAGTCATACGCTACTTTTGGCGAGCTTATGGGCCGCTTAACGAGAGCCTTGCAGATCGAGGTTGAGCACCAGCCCAACGTTAATAAAGACCATTTTTATGATATTGTCCGCAAGGAACCTCCACTATTACCATCCCGTTGATTACAACCTTGCAGGAGGCTGTGGAGGATACATGGACTTCTCCAGATCAACCTCAGTCAACATCTTGGAGGTGCGAGTCCATGTACAAAGTCAAAGAGCAAGACATCCCCTTCCTTTTGAAACACCCAGAGCCCAACTCTATCATGGTTGAATCATCCCAGGCATGAGATAACAGGGAGCACTTGACTCCTAGGGACAAGGAAGGAAGGAAAATTGACCTTATGGCACGGCAAATTTATGTAGCTATGGGACTGGGCTTGAGGATCTCTAACTATGAGGCGACGATGGCGAGATCAATATTTTCTGATGCAGCGGCTGGATTCGATTACCTCATTCATCCCAGAGCAACAACGAGACCTGGCCCGAGTCTTTATACGAGAGGCCATGCAACTCGTGATGCAACAGCTCACCACAGCCCGCCATCATGTTGACTGCAATTCCCGCACTCTAGTTGGCTCTGTTGCTCTCCGAAGGCATGTCTAGCTAAGATTGTGTAACTTCTCGGAAGAAACCAAGAGAAGAATCGAGGTGATGCCGTTCGACGGATCAGGCCTTTTCCATGACTAGACAGACCACATGCTCGAGCATATTTATAATGCTTGGGCTACCGCCAGGAAGATGGAGATCCCGGGCTCAAATTGTCGTAAGTGGCATCAATCTTGATTCCCTAGGTACCAACTGTATCACTGTTACCAGCCACGTCAGCAATTACCCCAGCGACAGCAGCGGAACCGTATGCAACCGGCTGCCCAATATCAACAGGGCCGCTGCCACCAACCCACTGATAAGAGGCAGCATTGATGGGCACCGCGAACCGATCCTCTCTCTCCTACATCCCCCCTCCCTATGGGGGCTGACTGCAAAGCCGACTCCCTCTTTGGGAGACCATCACATCTGACAAATGTGTCCTTTCCATAGTTGAATTTGGATAGAGAATCAAGTTCGAC